CCGGTCGTTCTCTGACCACAGTACATCCTTGTAGAGAAATTGGGGCCTCCTGCCACCCCCCCCCCGGGCACCCTGGAAAGGTAGCCTCTTTGGAGAGAGAGCAGCAGCCCAATTCAGTTGAGGCAGGGGTCCCCGAAAGCATCAGCCCCACAAAACACTCTGTGTGTGTGTGTGTGTGTGCTTAGGCCCAGGGAGGACTTCTCCCCTCCCACCTCTGGCCCCGCAGGCGCGCAGAGAGACACACACACACAGAGGCAGAAGCTAAGCTGGCACCCCCAGGGCAGCTCAGGGCAGGTGAGGCAGGGGGGCCAGGCAGGATCCATCAGTAAGCACAGGGGTTCGCAAAAGATGCCCATCTCACTAACGTCCGCAAACTGGCCCCGTGTCCGCAGCCCCTTGAGAACTGCTGTGGCTCTTGCCGAGGCAGGCTTCCCTTTGGACACAACCGACCGACTGACCGGGAAGGGCAAACGGCCAGCAGCCTCTGTTGCTGCTGCTGCTGCTGCTTGGACGGAGCCTCCCCCCTCCCCCCCCACCTGCCGTCCCAGGGTGTTCGTGCCACGGAGCTCCCACTATTTTAGGATGAGTAATCCCATCTTCTCGTAGGCAGCTCGCCTCGCAGTCCAGAGGCCGGGCTGGTTCCAGCATGCACCTACCCCTGAGGTAGGATTCCCTACTTCGCTTGCCTTCTACACCCCCCCCAACACACACACACACCTCGAGGCCTGCCTGGGGCCCCTGACCATGCCCCCTCTGCCTGCCTGCCTGCCTGCCCCGACTCCCTCCCCTTTGGTGGAGCTCCGCTTTGTTACCCCTGGCGCTGGGAGGAGAGCCAGGCCCTTGGGAGGCTGTCCCAGGCCCTGATCCGCCACTCTTCGCTCCTCTGTGAAGTAGCCTGAAGAGCAGGGCTGGCCGTTTAGAAAGATTTCTGGGGAGGGGGGGAGGCAGTCCACTGGAGGGGGGATGCTAAGGAAGCTGGCGGTGGTGGGGGTGGGCTCTTTTCATTGCTCTTCCCTGCACCGTCCTTTGACTCCCCTCATTTCCCTCCCACTGACACCAGCTTGACAACAACGGGTGTGAGGGGACTGTGGGGAGTTGCCTTGTGTGGCGTTGGGCCTTTTGGTCCATAAGATGCCCACGGGCCATGGGTGCATGAGGGTCCTGGAGGTGGAGGGGCCTGTCCTTCTGGTAGGGGGCCCCCACTGCAATCCTGCACCCCTAGCAGGGTTCCCCGGGTGGCTTTGGGGTCTCAGGCCTTACCTCCATCAACGGCTCCTTGGAGAGACGCCCGGCTCGGCCACCTACTTCTTCGTCATCTTCCTCCTCCTCCTCCTCCATGGCAGCTCAAACAGGTGGCAAAGGAGAAGAAGGAAATGAGCTTATTGACTTCCCTGACCGTGGCCTTAATCCTTCTTGGCAGGAGCTAGCGGGGTGTGTGCGTATGTGTGTGTGTGTCTGTGATACGGGGTAGCGGTAGGTCACTCCTGAGGGGGGACCCACAGCAGGGGCTGTCCAGGAGAGCTTCCCCCACAGCTCCCTTGCCTCACCTGTCCCAGGTGTTTAAGGGTTCATTAAGTTTGATTTAATTCTCCTGCCGCCACTACTGATGATGATTCTTGGCTACTGCAGGTAACCTTATCTCCTTGTCCCGCCTCAGCAGGCAACTCTGCGGAGCGGCTTACGGCACAGCTTGGCCGCTGACCTTCATGGCGTGGCAGAGGCTTAAACTCAGGTGCCCACATCCTGAGAACGGCCTGCGCCACAGGACCCTGGAAGGCCCTTGAGGAAGAGGGCGCTTGAACGAACGCACACCCCTCCCCTTCCGTCTGGACCGTTTCATGTTTTGTCAGATTGCTAACAGTGTCCCAGTGCGGCAAAGAGGGGGGCCACTTGGCGGTGAGAGAAAGGGGGCATTTCCCCGGCACGCCGCGTCCCAGCAGAACTGCCACCAAACCCTGGGCAAGTTGCACTACATCCAGTTCTTGGCCCCGGGAATCAGGGCCATGCCTGCAAGGGACAGGGTTGCCCTCTCCGGTTGCTGGGTGCAGTGTTCTGCAGCCTGCCTGGGGAGAGGAGTGAGCCCTTGGCCCGGCAGAGAAAAGCCCCCCCACCCCCACCCACCCTGCGGAACGAACAAGGGGCTGCATCCAGTGACTCCTCCGGCTGGTTTAGCAAATCAGTGTGTGCAAGTCGGGGCCTGATCACTTGAGAGGAAGGAAGGTTTTGTTAACTGGCACGCTGTTAGGCTGACCCCCTTCCCGTCCTTGGCCAACAGCTAAGGCCTTGCTTTGGCAGGCACAGGGAGCCCCTTCTCCCTCCTCTCAATTGCCCTACGGCCTTTGAGGGGTTTTTTGGATGCGGCAGGGGAAGGATGCAGCCCTGAGCTCGCTCTTTATGTCTCCCCTGACTGCTCTTTCAACCATGGGGCCCAAGAGAACATATTTTTGTTTCTTCACTTCTTACTTCATCCTCCTTGTTAACCTCAGGTGAACCTGCTCACTGATGTCTGCTACTATTTACTTCTTGTTCCATGAGTAAATTACTATTTTGCCGTAAAAGCAGTATCTGAGTAATTAATTGAGCTGGTTAAATGCTGTGGAATGTACTTGGGAGGGGGCTTGCTAATCAATCTCATCTAATAAATACCTAATCTAATAAATATAAATATCTCCAAACATATTCTCAAAGGCTTTCACAGCTAGGAAGAAAAACCTTCAGAACACAGCCGAACTGCCCAAAAAACCTCCAACAACCATTACCTCCAAATTTTGTTAGCCTTTTAATTGTGAAATTAAGGGCATTTAAGGATGCCCTTGCAAGAGCTGAGCAAGTGTGGCTGAGGAGGGGACCCTTACGGGAACGCACACGGGTAGGGTCCCCGTGGGACCGAATGGGATGTGGTGGCGCTGCTGGTTAAACCACAGAAGCCTTTGTGCTGCAGGGTCAGAAGACCAGCTGTCGTAAGATCGAATCCACGCAATGGAATGAGTTCTTGTCGCTTGTCCCACCTCCTGCCAACCCAGCAGTTCGAAAGCATGTAAAAATGTGAGTTGCTAAATAGGGACCACCTCGGTGGGAAGGTCGCGGCGTTCTGTGTCTAGTTGCGCCGGCCACGTGACCACGGAAACTGTCTTCGGACAAAATGCTGGCTCTACCGCTTGGAAACGGGGATGAGCACTGCCCCCTAGAGTTGGACACGACTGGACTAAATGTCAAGGGAAACATTTACCTTTACCTAAGGATATTGCTCTCTGCAGGGACTACAGAGTCCATCATCACAAACCCATAACTTTACCATTCTTGGCTGCCCTTTTCAACTTCTGCTACAGACTGCTTTTCTTTATCTGTCTCTCCTGCTGGAACTTCTCTCACAGCCTGGATCTTCCCAGGCCTGGGGGGGGAGGGGGAAGGGGACGGAAGGGCAACAGCTGGACTGACTGGACTTTTGTGATGCATGGAGCCCGCAACCTATCCCCCTGTAAGGTAGGACAGCCTACAAGGTAGTCTTTGTGGATCTGGGGTGGTGCTGCCAGCATCCTTGTTATTAATAACTTTGAGCATGAAGCTGTGCATGTTTCAAAAGGTTAGGAAATGTTCTTGGTACAAACATTTTGTTTGGTTTTAAAATGCCCATCAAAGGAAAGTCCACCCCCCTCACTCAAGCCAGTGAGTTCCTTTCAGAGAGTCCGTTCGTCTTGCATTTGGTCTTCCTTTTTTCCTCCTGCCTTCCACTTTTCCCAGCCTTATTCTCTTTTCCAGAGAATCCTTTGCCTTCTCGTGAGGTGCCTACTAAAGGAGGACAGCCTCAGTTTCCCCATTTTTGCCCCCCAATCTAGGAGGACCTGTTTATTCGTCTTGCTGGCGGTTCAGGGTGTCTGCCAAGCTGTGCTCCAGCAGCGGTTTTCAAAGGAATCT